GGAGGGAGGAGAGAGGAGGAGGAGGGAGGAGAGAGGAGGAGAGAGGGGGAGGGAGAGGAGGAGAGAGAGAGGAGGGAGGAGAGAGAGAGAGGAGGAGCGAGGGAGGAGAGGAGGAGAGGAGGAGAGGAGTGAGGAGAGGAGAGAGGAGAGGAGAGAGAGAGTGAGGGAGGAGAGAGGAGAGGAGGAGGGAGGAGAGGAGGAGGAGGAGAGGAGAGGGAGGAGAGAGGAGAGAGGAGAGGAGGAGAGGGAGGAGAGAGGAGGGAGAGAGAGAGGAGGAGGGAGGGAGGAGAGAGGAGGAGGAGGAGGAGGAGAGAGGAGGGAGAGAGAGAGGGAGTGAGGGAGGAGAGAGGAGAGGAGAGAGGAGGAGGAGGAGAGGAGAGGAGTGAGGGAGAGGAGAGGAGGGAGAGGAGAGGAGAGGAGAGAGGAGAGAGAGGAGGAGAGGAGGAGAGGAGAGGAGGAGAGGAGAGAGGAGAGGAGAGGAGCGAGGGAGGAGAGAGGAGAGGAGGAGGGAGGAGAGAGTGAGGAGAGGAGAGAGGAGGGAGGGAGGGAGGAGAGAGGAGAGGAGGGGAGTGAGGGAGGAGAGAGAGGAGACGGCAAAAAGGAGAGGAAGCGAGGAGCGAGTGAGCGAGAGAGAAAAGGATCAGAGGAGAGAGGGAACAGAGAGAAAGAGAAAGAAGAGAGGATTTTGATGTGGCGCCTTTTGATGGTCACTTCCATTAGTCGATTCAAATAGAAGAATAAAAGAGAAAAATGATCATGGAAACATCAGAACTAAACCAGGACTAAACCAGGTCTAAACCAGGTCCTGGTTTAGTCCTGGTTTAGTTCTGGTTCAGTCCTGCTTCAGTCCTGGTTTAGTCCTGTTTTAGACCTGGTTTAGTCCTGGTTTAGACCTGGTTTAGACCTGGTTTAGTCCTGGTTTAGTCCTGGTTTAGTCCCGGTTCAGTGCAAAAGTCAAAGACATCACAGTTTAAGTCACAGAAACATGACTTAAAAAAACAAATCATTATCATTTTTTTGTTTTTGGTTTTGGAGACAAATAATGAAGAAAATAGCTGTTTTTTTTTGTTTTTTTTGGTTTTTGTTTTTTAAATTTTCTTACTATTGGTTTTATTTTGAAAAAGAAATGAACGAATGACACGCGGATTAAGGGAGAATGTAACATGTTCACTTCTCTCCTCTCTCTCTTCTTCTTCTTCTGTTCTGTCAGTGTTTGTGAGATCGTGGGACAGTCGGACGGAGGTCTCTCGGTTCTTCGTACGTTCCGTCTCCTGCGCGTCCTGAAGCTGGTGCGGTTCATGCCCGCCCTCCGCCGGCAGCTCGTGGTCCTGATGAAGACCATGGACAACGTGGCCACCTTCTGTATGCTCCTCATGCTCTTCATCTTCATCTTCAGGTAAAAACGCACGCACAGACACACCCCGGGGTCTAGATCCTGAACTAAACCTCAGTCTTTTTCTAGTCTTGGTTCAGTCGTTGTTTTGGTTCCATTTAAAGGTTGTATGGAGGATTTTTTTTTGTTTCAAACTGTCAGTGAAAGATTAAAATACCATTACAGAGACGCAGCAGCTTTGTAATTATGATGACCAAAAAAAAAAAAGAACGAAAATCTATCAACTGTGGACGTGTTGAGGCCAGATAAACATCAGCCAATAGAAAACGAGGCTCCCTCATTTTCTATTGGCTGTTGGGTTGTCAATCAAACTCCCTAGTATAACTGACTCGTCGGAGCGCGGGGATTACGTGGTTTACGCGGCGGTTCTTAGAGGCTTTTTCGAACTGTCGCTTCCTCGCTTTTCGCACAAAGTTTGTCGCGACGGCGGACGAGAATCCACGACCGGTTCACCGCAAAAGAAAGTCCGTTTTTGAGGTCGCTGAAAGAAGAAGAGAAGAGGAAAAGGAGCGAAGACAAACTGAGGTGATTCTTGGAGATCTCGTCCAGCGATGGCGCGACCGAAGCAGACGAAGGGTCTAAAAACTGACGCGTCGGTCGCTGAATTACTTCTAGACAGGAAACTTCAACAGTAATTCTGAACGCGCACAAGGACTGTCGCTGTATTTCTCTTCCCTTAAAAAAATCCTCTATACAACCTTTAACGGAGTTCCCACAGTCATGGAAAGCCTGGGAAAGTCATGGAATTTTAGGCCCCATCCACACCAGTTCGTATTCGAGTAGTTTTCATTATGGATGCAGTGTTTGTTCACACTAATCTGACGGGAAACGGCTCCAGAGACGGAACGATCTGCCTCCAGCTCCACGAATTCATCTGAGTCCAGATCTGATCCGGCACCGTGTGGACGCCTCGTATAATCTCTGAAAAGTTTAACATGACCAGTGTCGGGGAGTAACAGATTACATGTACCAGAGTTATGTAATCAGAGTACAAATTATGAGTAACTGTATTCAGTTACAGTTACTGTTTCAGTGAGTGGTAATTGGATTACAGTTACTTTGTTGAAATAAATGGATTACACAGAGGGATTTAACTGTTTTCACATTTTGGGCTAAATCCCTTTTTTCTTTTTTTTTTCTTTTAAACCAGGTCTAAACCAGGTCTAAAGGTCTAATCCAGGTCTAATCCAGGTCTAATCCAGGTCCAAACCAGGTCTAAACTATGTCTCAAACAGGATTTAACAGGACTAAATCCTGCCGTGTGGACGTGTTTCTTCGTCTTCTATCAATAATATTTTTTAATTTGGTTCTGGGCTTTTTATTTTCTTTTATCAGACAAAACATCTTATGTTACGATTTCCTCGTCTTTGTTTCTCTACAGCAAATCAAGTAATCCAAAGTATTCAGATTACATTACTCACTTTAAGTAATTTAATGGATTACGTTACAAACTACATTTTGGGGTGTGTAATCTGTAATCTGTAGGGGATTACATTTTAAAAGTCAACTTCCCAACACTGAACATGAACCATCTCCAACACGACAGAAGCACAGAACAGACTCACCATCAGCAGAACACCCCTCTGACACAGAGAGAACACCCCTCTGTCACAGAGAGAACACCCCTCTGACACAGAGAGAACACCCCTCTGTCACAGAGAGAACACCCCTCTGTCACAGAGAGAACACCCCTCTGACACAGAGAGAACACCCCTCTGACACAGAGAGAACACCCCTCTGACACACAGAGAGAACACCCCTCTGTCACAGAGAGAGAGAACACCCCTCTGACACAGAGAGAACACCCCTCTGTCACACAGAGAGAACACCCCTCTGTCACACAGAGAGAGAGAACACCCCTCTGTCACACAGAGAGAACACCCCTCTGACACACAGAGAGAACACCCTCTGTCACACAGAGAGAACACCCCTCTGACACAGAGAGAACACCCCTCTGTCACAGAGAGAGAAACACCCCTCTGACACAGAGAGAACACCCCTCTGACACAGAGAGAACACCCCTCTGTCACAGAGAGAACACCCCTCTGACACAGAGAGAACACCCTCTGTCACAGAGAGAACACCCCTCTGTCACACAGAGAGAAACACCCCTCTGTCACAGAGAGAAACACCCCTCTGTCACAGAGAGAACACCCCTCTGTCACAGAGAGAACACCCCTCTGACACAGAGAGAACACAGAGAGAACACCCCTCTGACACAGAGAGAACACCCCTCTGACACAGAGAGAGAACACCCCTCTGTCACAGAGAGAACACCCCTCTGTCACAGAGAGAACACCCCTCTGTCACAGAGAGAACACCCCTCTGACACACAGAGAGAACACCCCTCTGACACAGAGAGAACACCCCTCTGACACAGAGAGAACACCCCTCTGACACAGAGAGAACACCCCTCTGTCACAGAGAGAACACCCCTCTGTCACAGAGAGAACACCCCTCTGTCACAGAGAGAAACACCCCTCTGTCACACAGAGAGAACACCCCTCTGACAGAGAGCACAGAGAGAACACCCCTCTGTCACACAGAGAGAACACCCCTCTGACACAGAGAGAACACCCCTCTGTCACAGAGAGAACACCCCTCTGTCACAGAGAGAACACCCCTCTGTCACACAGAGAACACCCCTCTGTCACACAGAGAGAACACCCCTCTGTCACAGAGAGAACACCCCTCTGACACAGAGAGAACACCCCTCTGTCACAGAGAGAACACCCCTCTGTCACACAGAGAGAACACCCCTCTGTCACAGAGAGAACACCCCTCTGTCACAGAGAGAACACCCCTCTGTCACAGAGAGAACACCCCTCTGACACAGAGAGAACACCCCTCTGACAGAGAGAACACCCTCTGACACAGAGAGAACACCCCTCTGTCACAGAGAGAACACCCCTCTGTCACAGAGAGAACACCCCTCTGTCACACAGAGAGAACACCCCTCTGACACAGAGAGAACACCCCTCTGTCACACAGAGAGAACACCCCTCTGACACAGAGAGAACACCCCTCTGTCACAGAGAGAACACCCCTCTGTCACAGAGAGAACACCCCTCTGTCACAGAGAGAACACCCCTCTGTCACAGAGAGAACACCCCTCTGTCACACAGAGAGAACACCCCTCTGACACAGAGAGAACACCCCTCTGTCACAGAGAGAACACCCCTCTGTCACAGAGAGAACACCCCTCTGTCACAGAGAGAACACCCCTCTGTCACAGAGAGAACACCCCTCTGTCACAGAGAGAACACCCCTCTGTCACAGAGAGAACACCCCTCTGACACAGAGAGAGAACACCCCTCTGTCACAGAGAGAGAACACCCCTCTGTCACAGAGAGAACACCCCTCTGACACAGAGAGAACACCCCTCTGTCACAGAGAGAACACCCCTCTGACACAGAGAGAACACCCCTCTGTCACAGAGAGAACACCCCTCTGACACAGAGAGAACACCCCTCTGTCACAGAGAGAACACCCCTCTGACACAGAGAGAACACCCCTCTGACACAGAGAGAACACCCCTCTGTCACAGAGAGAACACCCCTCTGTCACAGAGAGAACACCCCTCTGACACAGAGAGAACACCCCTCTGTCACACAGAGAGAACACCCCTCTGACACAGAGAGAACACCCCTCTGACACAGAGAGAACACCCCTCTGTCACAGAGAGAACACACCCCTCTGACACAGAGAGAACACCCCTCTGTCACAGAGAGAACACCCCTCTGTCACACAGAGAGAACACCCCTCTGACACAGAGAGAACACCCCTCTGACACAGAGAGAACACTCATATTCCAGTGAGTCGTGTCCTTTCGTTTCTGTAAAACGTAAACAAATGTGCTCAAGTCTGTGTGGACAGGAAGGACTGTGGACACAGAAACGACGTGTCTGGACACAGATCGTTTGTGATACGATGACACGTGGATTCGTTTCAGTGTAAACGTCGTCTCAGTGGATTATGAGTTTGTTCTGTGTTTCTGTCGTCTTGGTTCATGTGAAACTTTTCAGAGATTAAACGTCTGCAGGTCGAACACACAGACGTACAGGTGAGTGGATTCACTTCCCAAAGTCGTACTAAAACATTTTGGTAACACTGTTGTAGCTACCGTCAGCAGCAACTATCATCCATTTAAGTTTATGTTTTACAATATTAAATTATATTCATACTGAGATATAGTAAAATATTTTAAAAGCAATATATAGCATAAATAAGTAAATTTTTCTGTAAATTCATGTTAATTAGTTACATTTTATTTTGGTTGATTTGCTCCACTTTCAATTGCATATTGTTTCGAGGGGAAGTTTTTAAGGGTGCACTGTCTTAATACATTTTTTTACGGGTGAACTGCGCTCTGTCCTGAGCTAAAAGGACATTTTATGTTTTAAATTAAAGGTTTTCAAAAGCATCAAGACGTTATTCCCTTTGAGTGGATGTGGCCGATGAGGTACATTTTGTGTTATTTCATTGTGTCCGAACAAATGCCTGTTAAAACCAAAGAACGATTTTGAGCCTTGTTTAAACTCGAGGGGAGTAACAACTGTAATACTGTAGACCAGGGGTGTCGAACTCATTTTGGTCCGGGGGCCGTATCCAACCGACTTTGATCCCAAAGGGGCCGGATCAGAAAACTCATATATACTCCAAAAATAGCAATAAGTTCAAATATTTGTGCAGAGAAACACAAATCTATTACAGAAATCTTTTTTAACTGATGAACTCTTTCTTTTACAAAATATTATAATAAGAAAAATACAATTTCAACACAAAGTTTTAACATGAACTTATATGCAAACAGGAATAAGTCCATTTTTGTTGTAAAATCCTGCACTCGGCTCCACTTTTCTCATGTTGGACATTTTTCTGATGAGGGTGTCACGGTCAACAGTCAAAACGATCGTCCTTTAAGAGCGTTTGGAAAGAGACAAGTCTTCATTTGTGCTGCTCTGGTGGGAGGGGCCACGTACAGAGACGCTGGAGACGCTGCT